TAGATAGATATACTATCTATGTCAGTTCTACAAGGTAGATCAGATTAAGAATCCAAGTCTAAATATGCTTTTCCCCCTCCCTCTCTTTATCTTTGGGTGAACTAAGGAGGAGCTTATTAGAGATTTTCTCAAATTATTTTCTTGGGCCAGACTTAAGCCCCATTTATCTGACTATTGTCTTGGTAGCAGCTTTTCCTCTTCTTGAAGACTATTTCCTATTCTATCTATACACTACAATATAACTTGATATTCATAGATAGTACAATGATATGTTTTCAACAAGAGGATGGTGGAGATGCGATCATCTAGAAGCTTAGTGAAAATTTTGAGATCAAATATTTAAGACATATCATACAGTAGCATCAACCAAAGAAGCAAAATCAACAAATATTGATTTATATTGCAGTGGAAGAAGCCAGGGAAGCAAAAAACAAACAAACCCTTGGCAATGGAGTACCAAAAAGAAGACACAAAAGTCAGAACATGGTAGCAAACAACCACCATATCAAGAGATCATGGGAGATTTGTGATACATACCAATGATCACAAGATTAACTTCTCAGCAACAACCAGAATTCTATGTTTGAAGGTCTACATCACAATGAAAAATGTAATGTAATACTTACTGTAAAATCGTTGGTTAGTGACAGTAATTGGGACCAGAAAACACGGTTTTACATTGACTTTGCTTGTGGGAAGCTGGCAGAGAAAGTCACGAATGGCGACCACGTGACCAAGAGTTGTTGTAACTATTGTAAGTATGAGATGGTTGCCAAGTGCTCAGATTGTGATCATGTGACTGCAGTGGTGCTGGCATGGCCAGAACCTTGAGGACTGGTCAAAAGTGCCACTTGTTCAATGTTGCTGTAACTTCTGCTGAATGAGTAGTTGTTATCTGAAGTCTACCTGTACAATCAACATGAAATTAAAACTGCTGGCATAAACAAAATTGATGATCATATTGATATGGACTAAACTGGCAAGAAGGCAGACTATAAGTCAAAATATGGCACTTTTTCCAATTTCGGAGTTGGATTGTTACCTGGGCTAGTAAAAATCATTGATTAGTGTATCCCATCAAGAGTTATAATTGTATTTGTCCAGAGTCACTCCTTGTGAGATGGGCAGCTATATAAATTAAATAAACAAATTAAAAACCAATTTACAATGGAACTGTTTTCCATGGAAACTGTATATAACACAACAGCACTACCAATGTGCTCACTTTGGTTGAACATAAATCACTCATCCTAGAGGACAGTCAGGAGTGTATATGTCTGGTGCATATTGTGAATTCCCACAACAACCATAATGATGTGAAGTGCCATGTACTGAACTATTTACCACACAAGGGCACTATTGAGTTTCTGCTCCAGCAATAAATATGAAAATAGACATTCTGAGCAAGCTCTTGATCAGAGATTGGCATGGAGATCTTACCACACAAATAAATCTTGGGAAATGACCCATATGTTGATAAGTAGTCGTGTTGAAACAACAGCAACAATAGTTGGAGCAAGACTACATTTAGATAAAAAGGAGCTAAAGGTAGTACTCAACTTAAGGCTGTAACTGGGATTGGAATCTCAGTCACTGAGGGAAGCAGTCATTAAGGGGGACACCTATGTGACTGCCCATGTGACTGATTCACTCAATGAGTACAATCCCAACACTCTTAGTTGTGGCTGTTAAGCAATTGCACAGATCGTTAAGCAGATGAAGTTCCAGTTAAGGAGTTGGGGAGCTTCTGGGAAATAGGGAGACCCTGGGAGGCTCTAGTCAGGAGCTGAAAATCCTCCCTGCCAAAAATCCAAGCAGCCCCTGAACAGAGAAACATTTGTGTACAGCCTGCACTGGGCCTCCCAGGGGCTCTATCAACTTGCCCATGAATAACAGGTGTATACACAAAGGAGTTCTCAGCAATTGTCCTCCAGACCTAATTGACTGACTTTACAATTTTTTTAGCCAGTTCCAATCAAAATAAGAGCAGGGCACATACAAATATATAACTAATAAAATATGCAATGGAAATTTAGTACATTGGAAATGCCATTATGTTAGACTAGCTTAAGGACCAAACACTCACTGGAACAATGCCGCTTTGATTAGTTTTCAAATGCACATACAGTAGGGACAGTCCTTTCCTCCAAGGGAGAATGCTACATAAAATTAGGGTACTATTTCTTTTCCCACAATGAACTAGATATTTAATTGAATAAGAAAAAGAGAATATTTGTTTTTCAGGGTTGAATTGTGGCGTCCTTGTGCTCTCTGAGCTTGGTTGTTTGCTTGCAGATGTTTAACTGCCCAACAACATAACATTTTCAATGAGAATAAGTATAGGGTTTGTTCTCTGTTTATTGTCTTTTAAGAGACAATAAAAAGCTAAGACGTTTATGGAGATTCTCAGTCTTCCAAGTCATGGTTGTCCCACAGGTGCTTTTTCAAAAGGCAATTGGACTTTGTTTTTTGCTTGAAGACATTTCACTTCTCATCCAGTTCTGATTGAATGGTGGAGAATGGAAAGATTTATATTCCTTGCAGTCATCTGATCATTAGCACTCTTTTGGAGAGTTGTTGAGGCCACTTGGAGGAGTGCAAATGGGTGTGGAATCTACTTAGAACTGCTGAAAAGATTGTGTTGTAAACAGGAGATAGATGGTGTCATATTCCCCCCCCCCTTATGCAGTGAGACATGTACAGATCTGTACACTGGAGAAACAAAACAACCACTTCATAAATGCATGGCATAACATAGGAGAATAAACTCATCAGGACAAGATTCAGCAGTCCATTTGCATTTGAAAGACAAAGGTCACTCTTTTGAAGACAGCAAAGTCTATATTCTGGACAGAGAGGACCACTAGTTTGAAAGAGGGGTCAAAGAGGCTACATACATTAAGACTGATCAGAACTCTCTCAACAGAGGGGAGGGATACGACACCACCTATCTCCTGTTTTCAACACAATCTTTTCAGCAGTTCCAAGAAGGTTCCACATCCATTTACACTATTCAGGTGACCCTGAGGGCACAGATAAACTTCCAAGTGGCCTCAACAACTCTCAGATGACAACCAGATGACTGCAGGGAATATAAATTCTTCCATTCTTCATCATTTAGTCAGAACTGAAGAAGCTTCTTGGATAAGAATTGAAATGTCTTCAAGGAAAAGCAAAGTCCAATTGCCTTTTGAAAAAGAACCTTTGGTAATAAGAAGGGGAAAAAAAGACTAGAACACATCCTCTCCAGCTCAAACACCTAGGTAAGCAGGGATTAATACCAGACAAAGAATCACATAGAAATCAATACCCTAACCAAGGAACTATCAAGAACAAAGCCACACCCACCAACAGTGGCAGGCAAGCTACTATATATCAAGGAGCAAACTACCCATTCACTTGCACTGATGATGTTACCTAGTTGGGTACTGTAATAAAATGTATGAAAGCAAGCAACCAAGCTCAAAGAGCACTACAGACTCCACAAATGTATACCTTCTAGTACATGTAACTTTTTAAATTGTTATTTTGTCAGCTGAATGTGAAGAAATAAAGGAAGAGGGAGATCAAATTAGACAGTAGTTATCATATTCTATTTAACAGTTAATACAAAATCTGAAGAAAAACATAAATATATTAAGACCAAGAAAAGAATAGTTGGGATGCTGAACTGAAATATTGTATTGTAAAACTTGTAACTTATATGAAGAAAATTGGCTGAAGTATTGTTCGAATACTTTAAAATAAAGTCTTAATCTTTTCTTTGAAAAATAGAGCTGAAATATTTTTTGGACAAAATCACTTCAAATATACAAAGCAAATATATTATGTTTGAAAGAGCACCACCTTGTGGGCAGAATTGATAATTTGTATAGTATAAAACTGGCAGTGGAGAACTGCAGTAAGCATTACTGTGATTACTATTTCAAAAATAATACTATGTATCACCTTTAATATGAAAATATCAGGGCTGAACAGTGAATATACATCAGTTGATTTTATCTGAACTTCTGATTTTGAAGCCATGTATCATTAATGAGGAACAATAAAAAAATTAAAAATGTACAATATTGCAGAGAATTGTCTGAAATAAATTAGCATCTTAAGAGCCAATCCTGCAGGTGTCTATTCAAAAGTAGTCCTGCTGAATTTAAAGGGATTGGTCAATAGGTATGACACTGCATCCTAATGTTAGTTGTCAAAAATGATATTCTCATTGATCAGGTATATTTGACCAGTCACCCCGAATCGGTACTGGTCCATGGCCCATTAGGAACCAGGACATACAACTGGAAGTGAGCGGTGGACGAGCAAGCAAAACCGAAACCATCTCTCTCCTTCCCAGTCCATGGAAAAATTTTCTTTCATGAAACCAGTTTCAGGTGCCAAAAGGATTGGGGACTGCTGCTTTAGGCCAATCACTCTCTCAGCCCAATCCCCCTCATAGGGTTGTTGTTTTGGGCAAAATAGAAGGAAGAAAGAGGTATGTTGGCCATCCTGAGTTATTTATAAGACGCCCAGAATCACTTTATAGTGTAGATGGGCGGCCTAAAAATTTAATAAATAAAAATAAAATATAAAAATAATAAAGTGGGATGGATGGATTGATAGATAAACTATTACAAAAATAGAATAGTTCCAAATGGAAAATATTCCCAACAGGCCTCCATAAACTCAGTTACATGAAATTTTTGATTATATGCCATAATCAGTGTTGACTTTTAATGATTACACAGATGGATTTTCTTCATGATTAACTGTTCCTAACTTTCATATCTTCCAATGGTGCACTCATTGCCTCAGTAACTAAGTCCATCCATCTTTCCCAGTTTTATAGACTTCCCAAGAGTTAAGTCTTTGTATTATGTGTCTAAAAATGAGAAAACAATGGCTAAGCAGAGCTTTCTGTGAAACCTTTCAGTGCCGCTTCTTGGCTTGTTTTTATTTCTCTGAATTATTTGTCTTCAGATTTAAAATTTGAACACTTCTGCTCTTCCTAGGAAATTTATCAACTACAAAAGATACGCACATCAATAACAACGGACCGGGGGGAAACCGCGTGAAGGCTCATTTCACTTGAAGTTTCGGCCTTTCACTAGAGCCAGAGACCAGGTAAGTAATGTAAAAAGCGTGTATTTGAATTGTCTTAGGCACTCTCGAAATGTAATAGGACAGAGGGCTGCCTGAAGCCCCGCCCCGCTCGCGCTACCTTAACAACAAGCGTTGATAAGCCCGCCAATTTCTTCGCGCGCGAGGTCAGAATCGTCGCGGTAGCCTCTCTTGCCGTCTCTCGTGGCGTTCGCTTGTTCGTTCAGCTCGAAGGACCGTTAGAGCCACCATGGCGGGCTGGGAGAACATCGTGCGCGGAAAAAAGCCATGCTAAGAGCTCGAGCCCTTATGGTCGCATTCCTAGTTCTGGCGCCGTTCACGGAGTGGTCCGAATGGGGCCGTCTGCTTCTCTGTGAAGCGTGGCCAGGTGAGGACCATATAAAACCTATCTACTTCAGCTGAATCGCTGGGAATTATGGATCGCGAAGGTTTATTCTCTCGGAAGGTGCCAAGTTGAGGAAAGCATAGAGTCTTCGGCGGATGAGGAGCTTAGTAGAATTTGAAAGTCATCTTTTGTAATAAGAGTATGAAGTTAAAAGTAATGACTTTAAGCGTCTAAATAAATACGGGAGATGAGTAGTTTGGTTCCAGTTTAATAGTTCTTGCCATTCTCAATATGGGAAAATCAGCATAAAAGCAATCTGTTCAATGCTATGAATGACTTTAAAATCTGAGAATGAAAATATTTATAGTTTGGACTTGGAATTTTAATGAGTTAGGTTTATACTATTGTAGATACAGCTGAACTGAAACTACCTGTCCTGTGGTGAAAATCAGACACTATATCAGAACTGAAATAAAAAAATCCATTGTATATCTGAAATAAGTGAAAATATGCTTTACACTGTGAATAGTTGATACCTATTTAAGCAACTGCTGTGATTACCTTCTAGAAATTTTGATTACTCAACTTTTCATTAAGTAACTGAAAAACCACTGGACTTTGGTAAAAACTACCCAAGAATCTACAATATCACTTTTGTTAAATGTCAATGCTACTAAATGCTGCATACTAAAAAAGATTGTACTGTACTAATTCTTAGACAAGGGTATAAGCAATGAACTCCTGTTACATCTGCTCAGAGATAAGCCACATTATTTTAATGAGATTTAGTCTTAATGGATATAGAGTCACAAAATACTTTGTTTCAAAAAATACTCTTCAGTATTTATGTGCAATTGGGAAATGCATGTGCTTAAACACTGGTAACAGTACTTAGAACAACAGACTTTGCTGTGTTGTTGTAAGGATTTAGTCTTTACTTTCTTGCGAGAGGAGATTCTTTTCTGCCAACTTGTTCTTGTGTTTTAGAACAATCAAATTTACTGGCAAAAGGGGATACTTTAAATGCCATAGGGATCAGATGAGAAGGAAAGTCTTCTTTAAAAGGTTTACAAAACTGCAGCTGATGCGAATTTTATGGGAGATGGGCTTTCTTACAAACTCTGCAGCCTCAGTGCATGTACATTATGAAGTCTTCAAGGCCTTGCAGAAGGCCTATAACAGTGGTTCTCAACGTTTGTGTGACGGCGACCCGTCACACAAATGTTCTGCGCATGTGTGGCGGTGCCCCCATGCGCGGTGCGCATGCACGGCAGTGCCTCCATGCACGGCGTGCATGCGCGGCGGCGCCCCCTGAGGGGAGAAAATGGCAGATTGCCTTCTTTGGCGACCCCCGAAAAATGGTCGATCGACCCCAAATGGGGTCGCGACCCATAGGTTGAGAACCGCTGGCCTATAGGATCAGGGTCAATCTGATCTCTAGAGGGATGATATTTCAGAGGGCGGGTGTCATGGCAGAAAAGGCTCTCCTCTTCAGTCAAATGCCACTTCTTAGCAGATGGCATTTGGAGCATTCCCCTTCTGCTGGACTGAATAAGTAGAAAAAAAACTGGGAAGAGATGGTCCCATATATAACCTGGTCCCAAGCCATGACTATCACCACCTTGAATTTCATCCAGAAACATACTGATAGCCAGTGCAGCTCCCATATGGTAGTAGAGGTGGCCTATGCACCAAACAATTGGCAATTTTAAGACAACTTGACTTAATAAGACAATAATATAAGAGCCTGTTTGATCTAGTGGTTAAGGCATCAGGCTAGAAAGCAAGAGACTGAATTCAAGTCCCACCTTAGTCATGAAAGGCAACTGGCTACTTTGGGCCAGTCACTCTTTCCCAGCCCGCAGAGTGGTTGTGGGAAAATAGCAGGAAGAAAGTACATTCTACACATGTGCTGCCTTGAGTTATTTGTAGAAATAATAAAGATGGAATGTAAGTAAACAGCTCACCCTGCTGCATTTTATATTGACTGAAATGCTCTTCAGGGGTAGCCTCATGTAGAACACATGGCAGTTTTGCAATCAAAGGCCACTAGAGCATAAGTGACTGAGTATGGCCTCTTTGTCCAGAAATGGTGCAAATGATGCATAATCCAAAAGCTGGCCATCCTACTATGGCTGCCATCTTTTAATCGAGCAGAAGCTATAAGTCTGGGAGGATTCCACTGACAGTCTAATTCTGTCTGAGGCAATGCTGCCCCATCCAGAATCAAAGACGAAAGTCCAAAAACCTAGACCTGTTTGGCCTTGCTAGGGTAGAGCAAGAAACCTCATATTTATTTCTAGCATTGATACTTGTTTCTAGCACCTGATATTTGTTTCAAGCACTGAGAAAAATCTCCATGGCATCACTCAAACAACCTGAGATAGAGATAAGATAACCTTTATCGTCATTTTTTTTACTGTGGGCACAACGGCACACATCAAAAATGAAACTTAGTTCCCCGCTCTCAAAGTGAAACACATACATGACACACACCTAAACATACTATATACAACATGTGTATATACATATACATAACAAATACATATACATAACAAATATTAAATACTGTCCATCTTGAATATATAACGGAGGGAGGAAGCTTGAGAGTTCACAAGGTTAATACTGTATGGAATGAAACTATATAAAGCTGGTATCATACTGATGAAACGTCACCTGAAATCATAGGATGGCCTCATCCAGCAGGTTTAAGAAGACATTGATGGGAAAAAGCACGGAGTCCTGAGACATCCCAAAGGATAGGGACTGCAGGTTGAATTTCTTCCTGCCCTATCAACACAACTGGAATTGACCTCAGAAAGGAACCAAACCAGTAACATAATGCATCCCCAATTCTCAGAGTCAGGCCAGGAGGATGATATTGAAACTTGATGGTATCGAAAGCTGCCGAGTAATCAAAAACAAGGATGGATGCATCACCCCATACCATCCCTATAGACATCATCCAAATTGCTTTTGTAGTTACAATTTTAAACCTAAGCAAGTTAATCTAATGTAATAATGTTAAAATTCTCTGAAACTTTTGTTGGTATATAGTATCACATGCCTTACAAGGGAGCTATTTTGTCCAAAACCATTACTATTATTAAAACAAGTCTTAGATAATAATCCTGGCTTTATGATAATGTGATTTGAAATATTTAATTAAACTAGGGTTATTTGCTTTGTTGCAGGGCATTTAAAAGAGTATCAACAATTATTAATAGCATCTGATAATGATTCATACAAAATATCAGTGAATAGAATCTTACAACAGTCTACACTGAAAAAGGACAACAGAAATTACAAAAGCTTCAGAATGAATTTCAAAATTCATGGCAAAAGTGCCATTAAGAACCATCAACAAGAATATGCAGTTCTGTTTAAAATAAATCTGTATTTAGTTGGAAACAGAAAAACAAGCATACAAATTTCAAAAAAGCATTTAATAACATTTAGTTACATTTTGAGGGAAAGAAATTATTTAAGGAGACTCAATATGTTGATGAATGCAAATCTTAAAAATTGTAAAGTAAAAATGAATTGGCATATTAATGTGAGAAAGAAATCTGAAGATAACAAATCACATGCATCATATTTTGAAAATGGATGTAAATACATGGAAACCAAATCACCAATGAGTTATACGGCACATCAAGCAAATATATTAAGAAGTGAAGAACTGTTGCAAAAAAGTCAGAAAAGCTTGGGAAGTATAATGTTAAAATTTATAAAGCAACATAAAGGAAAAGAGCATATTGAAAGAAACATTTTAAAAGAAAAATGTAAAAATAGTATTGAGAGATTTTTAGCTTCTGTGAAAGAAACAATTTGTAAAGTGAATACAAATGAGTACAGTAAAAATTTGCACAGAATAGTTTCTGATGAACAGAAAATATTTAATAGAGAAAGAAATATATATATAGGATTTAAAAGTTTACAACAGAAAACAAATATTAAAGAAAAAATCAAGATGTGGAAACGGAAAACAAGAAATAAACAATCAATTTATGCAAATCAGAAGCTTCAATTCAGAAATTTATTCACTTACCAAAAAAATAGGCCCATACAGAAGGTATACTTAACTCATAAAAAGACGTTTAACATTCAAAAGAAAAAAAACCCTGTGTTTCAAACAAAAATTTATAGAGACAAACATTTAATACAAAAATGGGGCAGTATTCTCAGAAAAGAAAGTAAATTTGGAGAAAATGAAAGTGGGACTTTGTTCAAAAATTGCTATATGCATTTTTCCACAATAAATCTTAAGTTTTTAACAATTACAATATGTATGAAGCAAGAATTTTTTAGCTCAAAGAAATATCAGACACAGCAATTAACCCAAGTGAAAAAAATGTTGCGATATCTGTTGCCATCTTCAGAGAGAGTTAAAAAGAAGTATTTTAGTCTTAGTCCGAAAGCACTTGAAATGTCATCTCTAAAAATACCGATGGTAAAATGGCTTGTTAAAAAAGAGGGTTTTCCAGACTTAATCTACTTCCACAAAGATATTTTTAATGGCCCATCATCAACTGTTGAAAGAACCAAGCGATCAGCAAAACATAAAACTGAATCAATATCAGTAGGTAGGTTTATTTTTGTGTTCATTGTATTTATTTTTTAAGAAATAATAGCTTTAATACACAGTTAAATGTATAAATTGAATAACTTCTTCAGTTTAAAAGTATCGTTGACCAATAAACATCATATATATATATATATATATATATATATATATATATATATATATATATATATATATATATATATATATATATATATTCAGTTTTGTAAATTTAAAAAGGAAAGAAACTGGTTTCATACCTTACATATAGTAAATTCTCCATGGCAACCAACAAAAGGATTTCAAATCTAGTGAATTTATTGATTCTGATCTGATGAAGCAAATTATTAACATAAAAAATATGTCTCACAAATTCATATATATTAAATTATTAGCATAAATCGTAAGTGATATTTCTGTATCGTTTTGAGGGCTGGCTAGTTCTATCAAGCTTTCTCCCTTCAGACTTCTGTTCTAATTCTAAAGATCTTCCAGACCTGAAATATTTTGGGTAATGGGAGCTGTAGAGAAGATAATTGGAAAATCTGTTTTACAAAGTCTGTTCCAATCATATAAAGGATATTAAAACTCAAGCAGGCCTGTTAAAAAATTTTCTATTGCTGTATTATATTACTCCTCCTTGTCCTGTTACATTTCGAAGAAACTTTGTTATGGTCCATAGTCCCATTAGAAATTTAGCTTATTTTTTATTGGAGATGCTTAGATTTTTCTTGTCATTTCTTAAAGTAGTATAGTTAATGTAGAGTGTCGGAATAAAGTTGTTAATAACCTGAACAAAGATGGGCTCAGATATCCCACCCTATTAAAGTACAAGACACTACCCCGCACATATTGTCTGCTCAGGTCATGGCTGTTTTACATTCAGGAATAAAAGCTCTAGTCTCCCTGATCCTATCTAGAAACTCCCTGATCAGGAAGTCAAAGCTCTTCTTCCACACAGATACTTCAACAGAAATAACTATGTAGAAAGTAATTAGAATAAGAATAATAATCTTAATGCAGTTGTTTTCTGCATCAGTAATATCAATGGCAATTCTGGCTCAAATGATCTTGGTAAATGGGGAAAAAAGATAAGTGAAGCAAATCACCCCAGACAAGTTCCACGAAAATAATATACAACAATGGATTCCAAAATGTTACCCATTTGTGGACAACAGAAAAAATGAGCTGTTTTAGAAAATATTAAAGGATAAAATGAATGCTTTAAATATTTTGTAGGTTTATGATATAAACTTCACCTCTTAGTCTCCCTCCCAAAAAGGGTCTGGCCATTTTTTGAATATGACTCAATATATCATGTTGTAGCTCTTGCACTTTATCATATGAAATGAAGACCTTCAGCAGATTTCTGACTAATGCTAACTATCTGACTTCTGTTCTGACATAAAGCTCTATTAATACACATTTCCATCCTTGCATACTTATATTTGAATGGAGATTATAATTGTTTAGTTGTCATAAAAAATTAAAATGAACAATGGATTTTATAAAATGCAGGACTTCTGAAATATTCAAAGCTATATAATTTATTTAAAAATGGGACACCTGTACAGCTATTAAGACAACATGAGATTGCTTGAAAGTCATAGCAGAGATGCTGAATTCTTTCATTATTCTAACAATCCCCTTTCCAATCACATTTATCTTGCTTTGCTTCTGATTTTGGAGTGCAGCTGGAAAAAACAACTAGGAGGGCAATGCATTGTGGAATAATGGAAAATGGTGAAGAGTTAGCACCATTCCTTTACAAAAAATTGCCCTTCTTCACAGTCGTGCAGCAGATAGGACTACATTTAATCATGTGGGCTTACTCTGAATAAACATGATTTTAGGGCAATTACAATGGAAGAAGTCTTAAAAATTATAAATCTAAACTGAAGTACATAATATTTTAACATTAACTTTTTTATTTATTTAGGTGCTTTGAGACATTTAAGCAATGCTCTTATAGCAGGTGCTACAATTTTTGGAATAGCTCTGTTTATTATTGTGTTAGGAGGATTTTACCTCTACCTTAAAAGAAGGTAAGTTAATGGTTTTGCAATTTCTTTCAAACATTTCAAACTGACTACAGGTAGTCCTCGACTTACAACCACAATTGAGCCCAACATTTTTGTTGACTGAGACGGTTAAGTGAATTTTGCCCCATTTTATGACCTTTGTTGCCATAGTTAAGTAAATCACTGCAGTTAAGTTAGTAAGATTGTTAAGTGAATCTAGCTTCCCCATTGACTTTGCTTGTTACAAGGTTGCAAAAGGTGATCATGCTACTGTCATAAATATGAACCAACTGCCAAGCATCTGAATTCTGATCACATGACCATGGGAATGCTGCAACAGTTTTAAGTGAGAATGGTCATAAATCATTTTCAATGATGTAACTTTGAATAGTCACTAAATGAACTGCTATAAATTGAGGACTACTTCTATAGCTATTAATACAGTATTGCTTAATACTAGATTAATATATAACACAAATCCTAACTTATTTAATAAAATGTATTGAGATTATTTGGACAAAGGAATATTTTTAGAATGAAATGTAATGAAAATTAGATAAAATTTAGTCTGTTAGAGCAGGGGTCTCCAACCCTGGATTGTGGCCTACTATTGGGCCTTGAGCCGTTCGGAACTGGGCCAGGCTGCCGCTTGTAGAAATGGAGTGCACACGTGTGCACTCACCTACCTCTCATGTAGAATGTTCCCCTCTCCCTCCCTCCTGCCAGTCAGCAAAGCTGGAAAGATTTGGGAACTTGGTTAGAGTATCTCCAGATAAAAGAGTACTTTATTTGAAAAAAACTTGCTTTGTAACCTTAAATGAAATGAGATTACTTTAGTTATGAACTCAACACACAGCTTAACTCAAATACTTTTTTCTTTTAACAAAACGCATAATTTAGTCATTTACCTTTGAAAGTAGTAATATCTTTATTATGGTCCATTACTAGCATCTTGGAAGTCCCAAAAGTGCTTTCTCAAGAGGCAACTGGACTTTATTGTTTTTCTTTGAAGACGTTTCGCTTCTCATCCAAGAAGCTTCTTCAGCTCTAAAGTTTTTTGGATGATGATGACCTGGATGACTGAGAATCTCCATAGACATTTAGTACCTTGAAAGTTGAGAGTCAATGTATCTTTTCTATCAAACTTGCAATTACATTGCAGAAATATATTCTGGTAGCTTCAGTCTTCCAGCCAATTCTAGTTAACACTTATTTAGATCTTTTTGAATATTGCCGTTATTATTATTATTCTTTAAAAATAATAAATAGTAATAAATATAAATAATAAAGTAAATCTTTTTTATTTTCAAAAATAACAACCTGTCATGCAGTATTCTCTCAATCTTTTGTGTCATATAATGGAATTTTGAAAATAGTGTCTTTAGCCCAACTTAATTGAAACATACCTGTTTTTCTTTTTAAGATAAAAAGAAGCATGATTTTCTGATGGTAATTTTTATTACTTGACAGGCCAGACGTTGCTGGGATTGCAATACGCTGGGGATTGTGTGTGAGGGGCATGCGTTCACTCATGTGACAGCCCAATTTTACGATCTTGTTTGCAGTGGTTATAAAGTGACCTACATGGTCGTTAAGTGAAGGACATTGTTATTAAGTGAACCAATTGTTTGCATGGCCCAGTCTTGCCAAATACCAGAAGAAAAGGCCAATTTGGGGCAAAGATATTGTAAATACCCCTGGGAAGTCTGTTGTAAGTGGTTGCTAAATGACTGGTGTAAGTTAAATTTCCTTATTGTGCTTCAAATTTATGCTGGAAGTGTAATCAGTAAGTGGGGTTATTATACCATGCTTGGTATATGTGAAAATAACTAGAGAGTTTTGGCCTCAATTACATATCTTAATTCAGAAGAGTTTTAAGAGTAATATAAAATTGAAACCGGAGGCTTTTCTTTTGGAATTGATCAATAATCTGGAAAAAAAGTCATGGAGCTTTGTTTTTATACATGATAACTGCAGTGCAAAGGTGAAAATTTGACATTGCCCACAATGGAAGAATGAATGATGAAGATGATGGAACTTTCTGAGGTGGTCAAACTGACAGCTTTGATTAGAGAAAAGACATCTATATTCAATACTTATGCAAATTCCATAGACTTTTTATCTATAAGGATCTACTTTATATATATTTTTTCTTTATATTTTTTCTGCCCTTTTGATTTCATCCTTTTCCTTCCTTTCCTCTCTTTTTTGCTAAATGTCTTCATCTTAGTATGATGAGCAACCCAAAGATATCTTTAGTTTTATAGTTTTTTTATTACAAAATTTAATACAAAAATGTTCAGTTTTTGTATGTAATCATATATTTTTTAAATATTTCAGACTAGTTTTAAAATTTTTGAATACTGTTTTGAAAGATGGAAAATCCTCTTCCAAGTCTAAATCTACTGATTCTCAAGGTTATGCCCCTATTTCTGTTTCACAGAATTTTCATTTTGTACAACCAAAGGTAAGACACAGTACTTTTATAGTTATAAAAAATGAACTCTTAATATATGTGGCTTCTCTCTATTTAGATTCACAATATTCTGAGGCTAATTAAAATTCTAAACATGCTTGTATAAATTCACAATAGGAGTTATTCATTTGGGTGATATAAATGAATACAGAATACTACTAGGCAGAAAATTGACACATGCAATATATAATTTTTGAAATCTCAGTAATGAATCCCAATAGTACCAGATACATAAGTACATTGCACCTATATTCCAGAGATTTGATAAAGCCAGATGTTGCTAGTAATTCCTATTCAGCCTATAAGTATGTATAGAGCCAAAACACATCTACATTGATGACAATGGAACCATAATGGAATCTGACAGTGATATATATATCACTGTGATATATATATATATATATATATATATATATATATATATATATATATATATATATATATATATGCTGGAAAATTTGCATAAAAATACGACTCCTGGGCATTTGTATATATATATGTTTTCTGAGATTTTCGCGGTGTTTGTATGTAGGTCTTTGGTTATTTGGGTTTTCTCCCACGTAAAATTGGAAGTGTCTTGGCGACGTTTCGACGAAGTCTCATTCGTCATCTTCAGGCTGGTGCTTTCGGCTTCGTGCTTCTAGGAGCAATGTGTGGTTGTAGCTGTTTCTTCCTTTTAACTGCCAGTGGGGGTATGAACTGATTGGATGAGAGCTTGGCTGTGTTCTGATTGGATGGAGGTGTGTTCTGATTGGTTAGGAGCTTGGCTGTGCTCTGATTGGCTGGGGGGTTGGCTGTGCTCTGATTGGCATATATATTCATTCTTTTTTGTACAGATTTTTTCAATTTATATTTATTTTTTTAAAAAAAATAAAAATTCCTTTTAATGCAGTTATGATAATAGAAAAAGACATAGTAAACTGTTGACTGTATATGTTACATTTAAAAAACACTTCTCCCTCCAAAGTGATATAAAAAGTCCAGTAGTAATTGATACATCAAATTAGTTTTAAGAATCTGATATTTTCTTGGCTTCTTCAGTGCCTAGTCAATAAAATTTGATTGTTACTAACACAACACTAAAGGCTCTCGGATACCATGCAACTATGTTGTGAAAGCAATTTTATACTGTGATGATAGGCTATATGTTTTATTCCCAATATTCTAAATGCAGCATAGCCCATTTAGTATCAATTATACTATTGATTTATGTAATACAGATAGTCCTTGACTTGCAACCATTTAATTTATTTTTTATTTAATTATAATTAAATTATAGTAAAAGATTTGTTAATCTTCAACATATTTTAATATTTGATATTTAATACAGGATGAGGCATACCTAATAACTCAAGCATTAGAAAAATTCTTAATATATTTTTTTTAATATAAAATTGATGCTTTGATTATCTTTTTTTATATTTAATAGGACTCAAGAAAGAAACAGACAGCAGGTATAAACAGTTTCTAAGAATGCAGTCTACAAAGAATATATATTGCTATGAGAGTTTTGCAAAGTAAAATATTATAGGATAGAGATCATAACAGATCTCCACATATATTCCAGTAATTCTCAGTTAATGACCATTCATTCATTGACCATTCAAATTTATAACAGTGCTGAAAAGCAATACTTATGACCAATCCTGAAGGTTCCAGCCATCACAGTGGCCCCACAGTGATGTGATTTGGGCACTCCGTAACCAGCCTAGATTCCCTTGTTTAACAAACTGGTGATTCATTTGATAGCAACAAGCAATCACCATTGCTAAGTGATATGGCATTACATGATATGCTTTACGACTGCATTGTTTAGTGATGGAAATTCCAGTCCCAATGGTTGTCATTAAGTGAAGATTACCTGTATAACCATTCCTCATTATTGGACATGGTGATTAAGATTCTGGGAATTGTTAGTTCTGTAATGTCAGAAAATATTGTTGAAGTAAGGATATGTCCATTTAACTTTATTGAGATATAAATGTTAAGGATATCTTACCTTTGGTTATATTTAAATTTGATTGTGTTAACTGGTATCAGATTTTCTTAACATATTAGAAATATATACATATATGTCACATATATAACACACATAAATAAAATGTGACAGATCCATATCTAGCATTTGAAAAATAAAGGTCTCCAAGACAGATAACATATAGCAAATCACCAAATTATAATTTGATCATACTGTGCAGACTTTTCCTGGTGGATCAGAACTGTACAGTCAAAACATTATGACACTGTTGATCATCAGTTTAGTTTGTCATGATATTAAAATAAAATTTAGGGCAACTTCTCCAAGTTCATATAAAGGTATTTGCATGAACCATTAAATGTATTTTAAGAGATTAGTGTTAGAAATCTAAAATTCCTATCAATTTATTATTGTGCTATCAGGTCCATAATAAGCTTCTTAGGCCAATGATCAATTTTTCATAATCCTCACAACTCATTCTCTGTGCTAATTTTAGAGATAAAATTACAGAAATAAATGAAGCTCAAAAAGAATCCATGAGAAACTAAAAGCGTGAGAACCCTGATCCAAATTATGAAGTTTGAGAGCTATTTTTGCAGTCTCTAGGACTGTTTAAATTTGGCTGGCAATGAACTGCCAAATTATAATAACAAAATTCTCTGCCAAATTTCTCTGTTTCCCAAATTTTCTTTGGGAAACAGAAAGATAAACGTGCTAATTCATCAAGATTGATGTCCTATTAATATTTAAAATAATGTCTTCATTCTCCATCTCCTTTGATGATATCATGTAATTGCCACATTTTTTGCTATCGAAAAAAAAAATCTAAAATTAAGGGTCCCAGGGTTCAGAGCGATTCTCTACCCCTATTCTAAATAATAAACCTTGTACCCATTTTCCTATAGCAGAAATTTATTTAAAAAGCAGTTTTTCTACTTTGCTTTAAGAAATAAACATATTACTGTTAATGCTTACATTAAATACAGGTGATGAAATCTAATATTTGAAAAATATTTTTATGCTGTACACAATAGAGTTTGAATCCTAATAACTTTTTCCCTTTCTTTTTGCCAATCTAAGAAAACGTTTGAGAAAAGCATTGTGAGGAAGAGGAAGATTCATGGAGCAAGGAGCTCCATTTTCTCTTTTTAGCTATTGAGGAGGTCCTCTTGGTCTTAAGCATGTCTTCATGAAAGATGAATAGGGTACTCCATGAAATCTTACAAAGCAGGCAGATTGACAGTGGAAGATAATGTAACATATCCAAAATAATTTTGCCCTGTATGAGTTAGAGTTTTTATTTTTTATTGTTTAACATTATTTGATATATTCTTTGGTAACATTAGCGACAAAATAACATATAGAGGAATTTTGGAATAGAAGATAGATATCAACTAGTATTCAAATTAGTTTTACTATTATTAAAATAAGTTCATTTTTAACATACATGTTTTTAATGAACAATATTAACTTTTTCATTACAGATGTAGAAGCCCTTGCCAAAACCAATCATGTTACTGTGAAAGAAATATATGATAGCACCGATACAGAAGGAAGTTCAAAAAAGTCACACAGAGGTTTGACTGTGAGATCCAGAGCATACGTGTTTCCATCTCGGTCCAATGGAAGTGTACAATCTTTCTATGATGATGTTTGTGATATTTGCTCAGCGCAATTTTCTTTATCAGATGAATTTGTAGAAAAACCATATTCAAATCTGCCCAGCACTACTCCCAAAGCAAAGGAAGCTGTTTCTGTTTCATGTCAAACGAACCATTGTTTGAAAGATGAACAAATCTCTGGTATCAATACCGATATGTCACCACAGTTCAAGAAACCAACTATTTCAAGATCAAAATCTGAAAATGATATCGTAAGGGCTTGTTCCAGTAATACATCACGTCCAGTACAATCATTGACTCATGTTTCTGAAGTACAAAATCCATGATCATTATCTTGATATCACATTGAAAAATTCTAATTAATCTTAAAATGTTGATGATTCTATTTTTTCGTAAAACAACAAATTTCTTAACTGAATACAGTTTCATTAAGAATAGCACACAAAGTTCTGTGACAGTCTTGTTCCAGCTTTATAGGAAGTTCTCCATTCTTGATGCTCCATTTTAAGAAGGCATTTCTGGTTAAGGTTAGACATTTTGAATCTGGGATATTTTGACTACAAAATGTTTTGTGGACTCACAATAGTGTGTGTGTACAGAGATGCAACAACATAGCATCCATAAAACTTGTAGAATGTATTGTATATAATAATAATAAAGTTGGAAGGGACCTTGGAGGTCATCTAGTCCAACCCCCTGCTCAGGCAGGAAACCCTACACCATTTCAGACAAATGGCTGTCCAGTCTCTTCTTAAAAACTTCCAGTATTGGAGCATTCGCGCTTCTGGAGGCAGGTTGTTCCACTGGTTAATTGTTCTGTCAGGAAGTTTCTCCTTAGTTCTCGGTTGCTTCTCTCCTTGATTAGTTTCCATCCGTTGCTTCTTGTCCTGCCTTCAGACTCCTTGGAAAATAGTTTGACTCCCTCTTCTTTGTGGCAGCCCCTGAGATATTGGAATACTGCTATAATGTCCCCTCTCGTCCTTCTCTTCATTAAACTAGACATATCCAATTCCAGCAGCCTTTCCTTATATGCTTTAGCCTCCAGTCCCCAATCATCTTTGTTGCTCTTCTCTGTACTCTTTCTAGAGCTCAACATCTTTTTGTACATCGTGGTGACCAAAACTGGATGCAGTATTCCAAGTGTGGCCTTACCAAGGCATTGTAAAGTGGTATTAATACTTCACGTGATCTTGATTCTATCCCTCTGTTAATGCAGCCTAGCACTATGTTGGCCTTTTTGGCAGCTGCAGCACACTGCTGGCTCATATTTAAGTGATTGTCCACTAGGACCGAGGTCCCTCTCACAGTTACTACTATTGAGCAAGGTACCCCCTATACTATACCTGTACATTTGGTTTTTCTTGCCTAAATGTAGAAGCTTACTTTTTCCACCATTGAATTTCATTTTGTTAATGGGCTAAGGAAATATACTGTTAGAAGACCTATTCAAGATTTATTACATCAAGATAAGACTTGCCCTCTCTGAAGGTTGTTCAAATGATTTCAAACTCCCCAAGATATTTATGCATTCAATGCAGGTTCCTGTTAGGATTTTGCACATTCAGTTACATTTATGCTTGCTTTCATGCAAGCAAGGATTCTGAGCCTATTTGGGGGAATGTTATTATGATAAAACTGATTATTTCCTAACCAGAATTAGAAAGTACCCAAACCTTTCAAGTCCATCTCGGTGAATTCATGAGATGTGAATCAATGGCATTCAATGCATTGCCTGAGATTTTGTTCCTGTGGATCATTGGCTCTTGTGGTAGCATCAAGAGTGAAACCTAATATCAGTAAACAATGTTTTATTAATAAATAGTATATTGTGTCCTAAGAGAACATAGATTTTTATCATTTTTACTGTCACAATGAAAAAAATTGTGATCTTATTCATGGGATTGAGACACTTGCCATTACGTACTTTTTAATCAAAAACAAGTATTTTATTTGTGATATAGTGTCATGCAAAGTTTGGTTGTATTGACCTAGCTACATAACTCACTAGCATATAGTGAAGTAATGAAATAAAGTAGAAAATGTTTGTTCTTTAAAAGGGAAGTTGAAGTTCCAACTTGCTGGGGAATTCAAGTCTTTGAATAGCTTAACAATGGATATACGGTAAGGCGTTGATCTTAAAAGATAATTCTGGAATCTAAGTATGTGTAATACAACAAAATCAACAGCCATTTTGACTATGGATTAGCAAGCCTAATTAATAAAGCCCCACAATGATTTATTTTCTTCTTTATTGGCAAAAAAGAATGCTGAGCTGCACTGTTAAGCAGGATGGAGAGCAAGATGCTTTCTTCCTTTTGTAGTTTATTGAATTTCTGTGGCAAGGATGTAAGAAAGATGGGGTATTTCCATTTCCCTCCATCAGTTTTTATTCTCCTGTTATAGTTGGTGGGTACAACTGATATACATGTTTTGATAACAAACATTGGTAAATAAAATACAAGAAAAAGCCAAAGGCCAGATTCTAAAACAACCTGTCTATCAGACCCATGTAGAGAAAAATCCAAACTGGTAAGGATGCTCTATTTCTCCATGAGTCTGGTCTACTGCTTCGGGATGTCCTGTGAGTGTGTTAAATATCACCCCATGTGGAAGCAAAGCATCCTGCAGAATGACCTTCCTGTTGGATCATGTTTTTCTGTATGGGAGTGGCAGGCAGGTCTATAGAAATCACAAAGTTCATTAGACCAAAGTCTCTTTACAGCAACCTGCTTATCACACAAAGATATTTAGAGCAATACTCATATTTAAAGTTTCTTACAGCTAAACCTAACCACTCTAGCCAACTGTCACAACTTACAACCTCCCTGAGTTCAGGTCAGAACAGCAGCTGGTAAATACTTATTCCACCAGCAGTGAAATCCACCAATAGCTGTACAAACCAAATGCCTGAGGAGTCCATGCGTACTGTGAACTTTAAATCACACAATCTTAACTGAATGGAAAGTAGTTGGAAATGTATATGGCATCAATTGCTATACTAATACAGAAAAAATGAAAAATAAAGAATGGTTGTAAGCTGAACACTTCTTGGCATTCTATAGAATTAACCACATAAGAATTAATTGGGTTTTGCCACTTAATGCATAATTTTTTAGGTATTGTTTTTAACAGCTTGATATGAAGTATCAAGTCAGATTTTTTGCAAAAGTAGATTGTGGCAATATCGCTTAAGATCTCAGTAAGATCGTTTAGTATGCAATATCAAAAGGATTTTGAGGTAGGACAATGTCTAAATGCTTATGAAAAAGTTAAGATTTAAAAACCCACATTTTAGGATGTTTTTTTATACATCCAATATTGTCTTTGCAACAAACCCAACAGAAGAAATATACATTTTTACAATGCAATCTCACGTTTATTTACTCAAGTCCAATTGAATTATGTGACCACAAGTAAATTTAATCCTTCAGGGAAAGATTGAAGGCAAACGAGGTCCAGGCAGAAGAACATTGTGGCTTCAAAATCTAAGGGATTGGTTTGGACAAAACTCAGCAGCACTTTTTTGTGCAGCTGCTGATAAAAACAGGATCACCAACATGATTGCAACGTCCAATAACGGATATGGCGCAAGAAGAAGAAGACCACAAGTAATGTAATATATCTTTAACCTCGACTAGTCAGAAACTAGTAATTTGTTGTTAGTTGCGAAGTCGTGTCCGACCCATCGCAACCCCATGGACAACGTTCCTCCAGGCCTTCCTGTCCTCTACCATCTTCTGGAATCCATTTACTGCAATGTTAACTAGAAACCATATTGGAATGAATTGTGCTTTTGAGTAAATGTGCAAAGGATATTGCTTTTTGCAATCGTTTTTAACAAAAACGTGCCAGAAGTTTTATGAAATGCAACGCCCCCAGAATATACAACTTGAGGTCTGCCGAGGCCCTATTTTAATTATAAAATTAATTTGTGGTCTATTATTGTATGCGAAAGGAATACCTCTCTCAGCCCAATCATGAAAAACTGTTCAGAAAGCTAGCTCCTGGGGTGTTCGTTCCCTTTGGCTCGAAGGGAAGGTGGGATTTAAGCATGCGGTGAGTGAAACCAGGCCGTAGCAAGCGGCGAGCATCAATGCAGAAGGAGGAGCTAGAAGAAGGCCCGGCTGACAAAGCTCGCTGCGTAGATGGCTGGTGACCAGGAAGGAGAACCTCGCTTTAGGCTTAGGGAGGAAACGGGCTCTGTATACCTGGACGCCGCCTTCCCCTTCTCCTAACTCCCAGAGGTCCAGAGGAGCCCTTGGCTGAGGCCCTGATGGTGCCCGAGGGCTGAAGCCTCTCCGCTTCCTTCCTGCTGCTGTTTCGGGGCTAGAGCGGTGACTGGGCATTCTGACGGAAGGCGAGAAAGAGATGGTCACTCCTTGAGGCGAGCGGACTAGAGGCTAAGCAGCTTAGGTCGGGTAGGGAGCTGGCATGAGCTTCCAGTATTGGGTAGCTGCTGCCCGGGAAAGGCCGAAGGAGGGCCGCCGCTGTCGCCTGGAGCTGCCATTGTGTTACTGAGAAAGAGAAGACCCCCCACTTCCCTTTGGGGAAGATGGGAAATTGCTTGAAATCGCCCACTTCGGATGATATTTCCTTGCTGCACGAGTCCCAATCGGACAGGGCCAGTTACGGGGATGGGACTGAACCGGATCAGGAGCCGCCGCCGCCATATCAGGTATTGCGAGAAACCGAGAAGGACCCGGTCCCGGTTGGGGCTTGAAAGAGAATGAAATTCAGCGAGGGGAAATTTTCTAACGGGGTAGCGGAACTGATCGGTTGCAACAAGGACGAGAAAGAGGGTCTCGTGGCACCATAGGATTGATACCTTTGTAGTAATATTCAAGAGAGGGGGGGGAGGTAACTGTGGTGGTGGGGAAAACAGCTAGAGCGCCTGTAGGGCTTGTTTTGACCCCGGATTCATCGGGAAGGGAAACATAAATTACAATCGTTAATGGGCCGATGCAAGATTTCCATCCGTTGATTTCGCGGGTGTGTTTGACTTTAAAAATAAAAGTCTATTCTCTTGCCGGTTTGGAATAAATGGCCACCGATGAGCAAACAAAAGTAGGGGGTTTCCTTTCACATATGTTTACCAGTAATAGTACTCTACTCCCGAGGCCTGAAATTTGACATCTGGCCAGATCTCTCTCATCTAAACCTCCTCCTTCAGTCTGGTGGAGACCTTCATTCCTCCCTCCCTCCCTCATTTGTTTTTCAGTATTAAAAAGTCAAGTATTCAAAATTCTGTTTGTGGTTTTCTAGGCTGACTCTTTAAAAACAAAATATAAGCCACTTAAGCTCGAAATATTGGGCAAAATACAGAGTTTGTTTTAAAAAAACAAATATCCATTTTAAGCGAATTAAGATGTATTAGATTCCAACTGTTTTCCACTAGGAATTCAGCTTTTAATGTCAGTGAATTTTATTTCCAAGTAGTACAATCAAGACTGCATTTAATTGATTATAATGTTGGGTAGATTTGGTGTTTAATTCTAGGAATTTCTAGTTGTCATTTCTGAAATATTTTTCTTTATCTGGGTCATAAAAGGAGGTTCTAGTTTTTCAGCCTGGGCAAGCTTCCTTTGTTTCTACACAGAGTGACATCACTGTCTGGTGTTGCTTCCTTCTGATTACCTTGTTAAACCAATAACAATCTCCCTCTCCTTTCCCCCCCCCTCCTCTCTCACACACACACACACACACAGAGAGAGAGAGAGAGAGAGAGAGATATCCTTTTTTGTAATCCTAATAACACATAATTTAGGGAGTTCTGTGGCAATATGCCTTAATTGTTATAACTATAGCAAGCATAGGAAATAAACATTTTATTCTTGATTTTCTACCATTCTCTTACCATGTTCTATTTCTTTCTTCCTCTCTTATTCATAATAAACCTTTTTTTTTGCTAGTCTTGAACTATATGACTGGATTAGCTGGATTAGTTCAAACAAGTGATAAATGGAGTTCTGCTGATGTTAGAGCAGTGGTTCTCAACCTTTTTAATGCCGTGACCTCCAACCGGTCATAAGTCAAGGACTACCCAACCGATCGTAAGTCGAGGACTACCCAACTGGTCGTAAATCAAGGACTTTCCCTGCCTGGGAGCGCCGCGCATGCATGGTGCTGCCCCTTGCGCCGGCCGAGGCGTAGCTGGCAAGCGGCAGAGACAGCGCAGGCCGACCACCGGCTGGGCCACCAGCTGGCCCAGCCCAAGGGAGGTAAGGCACCCGCCGGGCCCCACCCGCGCCAGCAATCCTCTCTGTGCCCGCCGGCCTCCCATCTCCCACCTCTGGCCCTCTTTTACTTACATTTTTAGTAGTTGCTCAGCAGGGAGGGGTGGAAACTTCCAGACAGCTCGCCTTCGCTGCAAACAATTTGCAGCACCGTTTGCAGAATGGGACTTTTGGCGGGCTCAGCAGGGCAGAGACAGCCTGGACAATTCCTATTGGCTTTGAAAGCCAATAGAATTAGACTCTATTCAAGAGAGTCTATTCTATTGGCTTTCAAAAGCCAATAGAATAAAAGGGAGTAGCACAGCTAAGGAAAAGGGGAAAAAAATGGCGGACTGCGTTGTTTGGCGACCCCTGTTAAATGGTCGTTCGACCCCAAATGGGGTCCCGACCCACAGGTTGAGAACCACTGTGTTAGAGGAAGAGGATAGGAAGGCAGCTCATGCTCATGTTCCTCCTTAAAAATTGCTATGGAGATGGAGGGGCACTGTTACTGAGAAACATGAAACATGACCCAAGAGAACTGCAAAAGGTGTGAGGGTTGTCAAGATTGCTTCTCTGCTCCATTGTACTCAGTGGAGGTCCTCTATTTTAATCCTAGAGTTTTAACAACCAATTTACTGTAGCCATTTCTGTACTGATTAGATAATGACATTGCATGTTCATTTCCTGTGTGGATAATAATTTCTATGCATGTAGTCTGCCTTTTCAACAGCATTGCTAGTTCTCCTCAGATAACCTTGTGAGGAAGATGAGGCTGTAAGATCATGAATCCCCCAAAGTTCTGTCAGTAAACATCGCAATCTAGATCTTCCAGATCCTACTTCAGTACTGGAAACACTCCACCGCCCTTTTAAAGAATAAATGCACAATAGGGAATTATTCTAGGTTCATTTCTTGGCACTGGAAAATCAGTAAATATATTCTGAAAATCTAAGCAATATTGCTTAGAGATTTTATTAAAGATTTATGAAGCCTTGATTTATTCTCAATGCTTGCTTATTTTTTCAGGATATGGAATAAATGTTTTCTTGGGAAACTATTGATGAGCTACCAGTCTTCAGAAATGAATTGTATTCATATCCCAAATATATGCTCAGAATCCTGTTGAGTTCAGTGAGTTAAATTTCCAAGTAAGTATGCGTAGGATTGCAGCCCTTACATATTTCTTCCAGACTCTTGCATAATGCTGCTGCTAAGAACAGTAGTCAGAGTCCAGTGAAACTACTCATGCATGTACAAAACTTTCATAATTTCATTATTTACTTTCACCTAACAGAGTGTCTACCAGTAAACAACATTTAAGCTTCTAAGTTTGTATTTTGTTGTATGCATATACTTGGCATGCATATATGATGCACTCAGTCAATTACAATCCATCCATATGTATTTACATCAAGGTGTAAAAATATTTCAAGAAGTTTAGATGATAGTAAATAAATTATAGCAAGCATTTAGCTTAATGCAATGAATTATTTTGAATGCTAATGCTAAGTATACAATAGCTGCAATTGATTTGTTTATCTGAGTAATTTGACAGATAAATGAAAGAAAGATGGCCGGTATATAGTACTGTATACTCTAGCATTACACTCCTATGCATGTTTAGTTAGACGTAAGTGTTTCTGGGGATATTCTAGAGCAGTGGTGGTGAATCTATGGCATGCGTGCCAGAGGCAGCACTCAGAGCCCTCTCTGTGAGCACCTGCGCTGTCACCCCAGCCCTGCCTGCCCCCACAGCCTCCTCACCAGCAGCCCGCCTGGAGGAGAGTCGCCCCCAGGCGCAGCCCTTGTGGAGCAGTGCAGCCAAGCACATGGCAGCCAGGCAGCAGAGACAAGACTCCGCCTTCACGCTCCATCGTGCAAAGATGATGCTGTGGGGCGTGGGTGGAGGACATGGCTGCCATGGTGCTGTAGGGCCACCTGGGCAATCTGCAACCGGCTATGGAAGCAGTGGGTGGCCCTACAGGCTCACGGGACATAGGGGCAGAGTGGGTGGAATGGGCGGGGCGGGACGGTTTTTGGGCACTCATTCTCTAAAAGGTTTTCCATCACTGTTCTAGAGTTACCAGTTTTTCTAATTGTTGTCTGCTTGTTTGTAGCTGAGATCTGGTAGTTCCAGATATATTCCTTCATAACTCTGTCATTTCACACAGTTACTGAAAGTAAACTTTACTGAAAACAGCAGAAGTTTCTTCCACATTAATATGCACAGGATTGTATTATGTTAGAGGAATTATTGTGTGTTTTACCTTGAGTAAATCCTTTTCAACTCAGCTGGATTTACCTTGGGCACTGGATAATTATGGCTGCAATCATATGCATATATAAGGGAGTAAACCTTATTAAACTTATTAAAACTAATTTGCAGGTAAACATACATAGGAATGGGATGAATGGCTGCATGGAAATAATATAAATGTTAACAAGATCAGTACTAACTTGGATTAAATATATTAAGTAGTGCACTACAAGACAAGAACACTGCATATTTTTCAGAGCATTTTATAGCTTTAAAAAGCAATAAGCTGTGTACTGCCATTTATAAAAAGATTTTTTTAGCATTGCCAATATTGTAACAGCTACCAACAGGCATAATATCAAAGTCTGTTATTTTCAGAAGTGCCCATTTCAAGGCATATTACTAATATAAACTGAGCATTCTTATTTATGCTAAAAACAAGGTCTATGTTATTCCGAACTCTGATATTTAGAATTCACTTTAAAAAACAATATAAAAGGATTCTCATTTGTGTTCCTTTTTTTATAAAATATAAATTTAGCCTACAAAGCTTTATAGATAATTTTATAGTAGCAATGAAGAAAAAATTCAGTACATATTTACTCACAATTAAATTGTAAATTTATAAGTAAATCTTCTGTTAGAATTAGAATTACTTCCTAGTGGGTTAAATACAGTTTGGTTTTCTTCTTTGAATTATTTCTGAGTTTTGCTTTTATTTCATTTTTTTTCTCTTTTCCTCCCTATTTTTTATGGTTTATTGTTGATGACTTTTATACCACTTCAGAATTATGACAATTGTATAGTCAAGCATCTGAAAGTTTTATGAATTTAATCATATTACTTCTCCATTTATTGTGATTCACATAAAGCTCACTGTATTTATAATCCATAAATGAGTAACAAATAACTTTACAAAAACAAAGCACAGAAATCTTCCCAGCTATTTATGGGCCTGGCATTTGCAGAATCAGGTTAATCTCTGTCGCTACTTAATTAAAGTATGCTGAAAGTGAATATCATAGATGACTATAAACTAAAGATAATGCATTTTTGAATTCTAGCCATCATCAGATGTTTGACAATTATGGAGAGAAGATGTGGTTCATACTCTGATTCTCCCTTCTGTTGCCTTTTCAATCTAGCCCAGAAGAAAAGAATGATATGAACGTTCAGATACATTGCTGCACATATGCCTTTGCA